CCACTTCCTCGTTCCCTGACGGAACGGAATGCGCTTCCAGCACGTCAGCAGACTTTGGATTAACAGAGGGCTTTCTCAGGCATATGCTGGTTCTGGAAGTGTCTCCAATCTTTAGTGTGGGCTGCCAGCGGGCTGAATAGACTGTCCCATTTCATTTGCAGGACAAAAGGCACAGCACATACCTGAAGAGAAGCATCCAAGCCTCATAGCAACAGAGGTTCCAAAGGCCTGAGTCTGTCTCATCACCCACCTGCCCATGCCAGACAGGGTCATGGCTATTTAAGCAGGGTGAGATTGGTGACTCTTGGCGGATATGCCTGGTTAACACAATGTCCTGTGCTCTACTCCTACCAGGGCAAAACCAGATCGGGAAATAGAGCAAACAAAAGCACATCTTTTTTTACGAGCATGTCAAAATTGGCCATCTCAGAATAATTAATTTCGGTGCAACACGGAAAGGTAGCCACGGTGTCGACAGAGTAGAGAAAATGGGCGAATATAGGTTTGTTTTAAAGTCAGACTGCAGAGAACATGCAAAAATGTCTGCCAGGATAGTGACTTCCAGACTTCACCCTGTGCATGTGAAGTCTTAAAGTTAACCTTACTCTTTACCCTTACAGATGGTATAATGTTGTATATGTGCATAAAAATATTTACAGACTAATAAAACTATTTGCTAGGCTTGCACAGTACTCGATGCAAGGAGCAATACCTGTATGGAATTTTGTATCAGATGCCACACTGATGTTAAATTTTTTTATATCACGGCACACATATGCTAAGCAATATATATCAAACCGATATGCTAAACATACAGTAAATATATAAATAAAATCTAAAAATAAAATAGTAGCTGTCTTCATGATTAATTCATGAGATATGTACAGTATATGTTATATAGGGTAGTTGGCAAACATTTTACTCCATATTCATCTGTCAAATTAGGTTTATTATACATTATATTGTCTTGGCTTCAATTTAAAAAAAAGTTGTCACAGTGCAATCAGCCATTAAATTCATAAAACCCTAAATGTCAAAACTAACATACAAAACTATCAGAACATTGTTTTGGCCAAACGATACTGCAAATTAACTGTATAAAATTACAACATTTAAAATGCATGACAACCTGCCTTGACCTGGCATTTATGAAAAATGCCCGTTTCAGCCTTTAGGTTAAAATCTGACTTCATTATGTAGAAGATCTCTTGCCTGAATATATTCTAGTGTGGTTTTGTTGTATTTATTTGTTTACCCAACAGCTACTGCAAAAAAAAAAAAAAAAAAGATGATACTGGAGTTTGGAAGAGAAATTAAATCAACATTTTAATTTAAAACTGTTTTTAGCTATGTTTGAAACCAACATACAAACTAAGAAAACAACCTTTTGTGTAACTAGACATACAAAATCGTACTTTTATTACTGATAAATGACAACTTCCTTGTGTGATAAGCAGATCACCTGTATATTGTAAGTATATACAAAATGTATGTCTGTTTATTTGTCATAGCCTTGAGATCGAAATTTCTGTATTCACATTTTATAACATGCCAGCTTTCAAATAGAAGCCGAAACATCAATCAATATTTGGAGGTTTTAGCCCAAGATCTCATTTTGTAATGACATACTTTTATTGACTAAACATAATTATGGTCTGGTGGTCTGAAGTAAATTCAGAACGTAGCAGGACTGAATTAGCCAAGGAAGCTGAAAGGTTTGAGTGGAAAGGGAAAAAAAGAGAGCCAGAGAGAAATGGAGTGAAAGAAAAAAAGGAAGCGGGGTAGAAATAGATGGAGTGAGTGAAGGAGCAATGCAGATGGAAAGGTTGTAGACTGAGAGGTGATTTATGGCCCCTGGAAACAAAATCAACAAGTTGAACTTTAATTGTATTCGTTGTGATTGGGGGGAGGGAGTAGTTAATACCACCTTATGATTGATGGCACGGGGCAACGGCTTTGGCTGCACACTTTGTCTTTTCAGCTTTGGCACAGATATAAAACCGTCTGATAAAAGCAATTAATTGCTGTGAAAGTTCTGTGCTAATGCTAGAAATGAATTCTTGGCGCATATTTAGAGAAATTTTTACTGATGAAAATATGGCATTGAATCCAAGGCTGCATGTTTAAATAAGCGATTAGCATTTCCGTGATAAGCCCTATCTGGCCTTATTTCATCTAATCGGGCGACAAATGAGCCACGTCCTAATAGATTATAACATTTTTTGAGTAAAAAAAAAATATAATGAATGTAGTTGGAGAGAATATAAAGTACCCTGAACTCAGCAGCATAATGATGTCTACCATAATTCTGTTCAATTTAACAAAAAAATTTATTGATAAGTGATTTTGGTCACACTTTACATTAGAGCATACATAATATACTCATATAATGTGAAATGTTATGGTGAATTCTATTTTTATTAGAAACAAGCTGTAGCGAATCAGCTCATGGGGAAATATGAATAATTAATCATAACTAGTTATAATTAATTATAAATATTTAGATCCGCTGTAGATATTTACTTGACCTCTCAGGGTCAACTGTCTGTCAATTCTAAGAACGTTAATTGCTTCGCATTCCATTAGGTCGTAAATGTATCTGGTGTCAGGGTTGCCATGGTAACCAGGGTCCTGGGCCTCGTTCACAGACAACTTGGCACCCAGTATGTTTATTGGGTGAGGGGTCTGTGAATGTTTGTTAATCTAATGAATAATTGATTTGTTAAATCAAATGAAAAATGGTGTGTCTGATTGGTCCAGACGCTACAACGCATTTAAGGTCTTAAATTTTCTTTTCTTTTTTGTTTTATTTTATTTTTTTGTCAATACCAGTGGAAAAGAGCCATTAATAAAGACTTGTGTGGCAGGCCGCTAGCAATCCGCAGTGACATCGGTGATGGGTAAGAAAGCACAAGAGCGAAGAGGTGATCTTGGCATTGTTCCAAATCAGCACGGATAATTAGTGTAGCTCTTATTTAACCCCCTGGGGTCGAAGCCCGCACCGGTGCGGTCTGTCTCGTATTTTCTTTATGACCGTGAAAATAACAAAAAATACTTAATCAAATAATCAGGGCAGCCGATGGCCAATTATATGATGCCGATTTTTTTGGCCGATATGTTTGGCCGATTTTCTTTTTTTTCCCCATTCATCTCATAAAAGTGAGTTTGAGCAAATTATTATTTGCAGGGTACAAGATAGTAATAGTAGTAGTAGCCCAATTTAGATGAACAATACATGGTTCAAAACTTAAGCACCTTCTCAAAACAGTTCAGAAGCATGCTTTTTGTTTATGTTTGCTGACAGACACCAGTGTTTCCCACAGACTTGCAAATGCAAATTCATTCTCTGCCAGCAGGAGGTGCTTTGGGAGCTGGAGATATAGTGGTTTCCCCGGTAACGGCTGTAATCGAATAGGCGCTGTGCTCACAAACGCTACTTTATCAGGCATTACAGGAAAGACGAAATGAAAATGACATTGAAGCTTTTATGAAGACAGTCAGTTCTTTTTAAAGATACATTCATATAAAAACACCCGCGCTGCATTTTAATTTTGAAACGTGAAGCGCTCATTTTATTCAACGAAGTATAAGCCTTTTCAAAAACGAAGTATAAGTCTTATCAAAAGTCAGTTTTGATATTGTGACGAGCCGCCACAAATAACTCAATATATAGGAAACACTGGACACTGCTATAAGTCAAATGGCCATAGTGATAACAAAAAATAAAAGATTTCACACATATTACAACGCCTGCTGCTCATAACTGCTTAAGAGTGTGCTAGCCACGAGCGATGACATCGTGTATGCTATTGTCGGACCTACACACACATTTCATTTGCCAAAAATCGGCCGATCAATCGGCCGACCGATCAATCGGCCGACCTCTAAGCTGTTCTATACAAAAAGTGTCTTAGAAAATTTAAATCAATATCGTATCGGTTATAAAATAGCAATATCGGTCGATCACTAGAATGGATACTATGGCAAAGTTATCGCTTTCCTTATTCAAACTAATTTTTTTTCATGAATATATGATTGACCTGAAGAATGAAAGCTATATCATACACTTGGAAAATTATGAGCTTTATCACACTCATAGACACTAGGGGTGTGACAATACACTTAGCTCACAAGGTGCAGAAACTTGATTAAGAAATTTTCAAATTACGAAATATTTGTCCTTTAATCACAAAAAGTAAAACAATGCAGTTGTATTTTGAAATGTTCTAACTAATCTAAAGCTTAACTAATGATTATTTTGCTAATCAAGTAATCTACTGATTATTTTGACAAGTGAGTAATCTGATGTTTTTTAGTAATACAAATAGAATTCTGGCAATCATATCATTCTTATGGAGATGACGTGATTACTCTGGGCTGTTTACAAAGCTCTGCTGCTTTTTAAATAGCTTTTCTATGTAAATATGATGCTCGATGGAAATCTTTGACCATTGCGCCTCGCAGCTTTTTCAATGTGTCGCGTTCGAGACCCAGGCTTCTTTTCCATTCATCAGCTGCGACTCTGCAATTTGATACTATTATGCGCGTCTCGTGTTTATAAGAGCAAAAACTTCTGATTGGCTAGTACCCGCAGCCCAACGCCACACGCCGGAGATCCGGCACGGTGCCGGAGAACTTTAAGCCCTGCATATTATTGTAGCCCAGTTTGTGCTGATTACAGTGTTATCAGGCTTTAGCCATTTATATGTTTATAAGCAACTGAAAACAACACAAATATCAGGGCATGTCAAAACTTCCCCAGGGCCCCAAAACACCCTCAGACCCCAGAGGGTTAAGGACTGTAAGCTTTTAGTTTTATACATTTTTACTAGTTCATTTGTTTTAGGAATGGTGTAGGATGGTTTTTGCAGCATTCGGTGTGAGACCTTTGGTAAGGCATGTGAGATTATATATATATTATTAGTACCGATTCATGTTAAATCAATCGGTGCCAAATTTCAGTACCTGAGAAAACATCTGGGCGCATACGCTACAGAGAGAAAGAGAGACCCTGTGACGTGAGGTCACCCCTGCAACTCGTTCAAACAACACACAGGACAAGCCAAAATGTTCTGAAGTG